TTTTCTGATTGCCAGGCTTATCGTGCTCACCCTTTCAGTTTTTTTAAGGATAAATCATCAACGGAATGGTGGAGAATTTTGTGCCCGTTCCAGTAATTTTTAAGTCAACATATCGATAAACGTTGCCCCATCCACTGTTCTTCCTACACCGTTCCTTCCCCACCTCTTCAGCACACTCCTCACCCATCGTGCACGCGGTGAAATCCGCCCCTGCCCCTCTTTTTCTCGTGCAATAAGCATAATTATCATTGTCGGCGATTCGACGGAAACCGACAATCCATTGAAGCACGACGTCTGCGTTGTCAGCGCCAGCCTTTCCCCTCCCACGTGGCCATGAATTATCGAATATTTTATACGAGTTTTATTTTTCGCGCGCCGGACACGGATGCCCCTTCATGGCGCTCGACATCCTCTTCCATCGGTATTAATATTTACAGAAAGCAGGAAACGATCAACAGCAGAGGGGGCAGGGAACGTTTCAACAAACGTGACGAGCACGGCCTTGAGTCTGTGAAAAGCAAGGCACCATGGTCTCAGAATAACAGAAATACTGCAAAATGGTGGCTCTGTTTCGAGCCACCATTGCTTTTCATTGTCTTTGACGGACATTATCTGTTTATCAAATGGAGATTGTTAATGAAATTATACCATTTGATAATATTGCCCTAGATAAGTGTATTTTTGTAGACTTTTTTTAATGACAAAAACACATTCTTCGATTAAAAATCAAGACAGAAATTTTGTTTTGAAAAGTAAATATGAGAATATACGTGAGTTTAATAATCAAGATTCTGGAACAAAATTGTAACAGTGAAATATTAGGTAAATCTAAAACTCCGACCAAAAATTTTAAAAAGAATATCAGTTCGATCTGAGCAATATATTAATTTTATTCATTTAGATTCCTTATTACAGAAAATTAACGGTACCATACGTGTAAAATTTATTTATCACAAGGGACGAAATACAAGAAAATAAAGTCTGCAAAGAGACTGTAAAATGCATGTAAAATAAATTTTAAACATTTTAAAGGTAGTTTGTTATATTTTTTTAAGCTACATAAATATGATAAAAATCTATTAACTGACCACAAAACGCGCATCGGTTGTAAAATCCCCCAGGATGTTCGCGAGGAACAGGAAGAAACAACAAACAACGAAGCGAAGCAAGATGATCATAACGATTTCATGCGGAACGATTTTGCGATCCCCTGGCAATTCGACGAAAGTGTAAATTACCTTTGCGATAAGTGCAGGAGAATCTAGAATGTCTATAGCCCCTCTGTTGGACCCTGTTTCCTTTCGTTCTCCCCCCCCTCTCTTATACTCATCCTCCTTTCTGTTCTGGAACCCTTTATGTATTGCACCCTTGCCTAGAACTCATCCCCAGTCTCCTACTCCCAAGAGCTATTAGTCTAAACAATATGGCTGCCAAACGCAGCAAACAATCGATAGCAAGCTTGGTACGCCAACTGGCTGTATAATTTAATTAAGACTATTAAAGCCGAAATCGAACGTCATCTTTGAACTGTTTTGCGTCACACGCGCTACCGTGGCGTGCTGATTCTTGAATGTTTACCGCAATGGCTGTTCGTTTAATACCCTGAGACGCTTTGCGTCGCTCAATTAAATTTACAATGTCATTAAGTTGTTGGTCGTCGGTATATCAGAATCATACGTGCTGGCAGATTGATCTCTGTTCGTCAGAGGATTTGTCGTCTTGTCGGTTGATCCTTCGATCACGAAGCGCGCAACTTGTCCGTATAGACGAACTAACATCGAATGTGTACTTAGGTTCGTGTTAGGACTTATTTTATTTTAGGTTATTGTTTGCCATAACTTCATAACTTTTATGAAAACCGAAATACGGAAATATATTTACCTATTTCTACTTTGGTACTACAGACTTTGCTCTCCCTGTTGTAAGATCACATTCGCCTTCTTGCAAATCAAATCCAACTTGTGCGTAACTCAAAAGCGAAGTAACACAATGCCATTTGGTTGTTTTTTGCGATTTTATTCATAATTAACGAGCTGTCACTCGAAAGGAAACTTGACTTATTTTCAGTATTAAATAGATATTCTGTGTTATTTTTTATTTAAGTATTATTATATACATGCAATAAAATTTTTATTTCAGTATAATTGTACATTGGATTTTATTTTTATTACAATGGTTTAAGAAAATAAACTTGTAATAAAACTTAATCATGTACCAGTTCCTCATACTGAAACCAAAACAATTATCACCAATCGATACCATCTTTTGACGATGGAAATATTGTATTTTAAAATGTTTTCAAGTTTAGTTATTATAGTTATATAATAGTTATAACTATTTATAATATGTTAGAAATATGTTAAAATTCTTGCATATCCCTAATATTAATTTCATTTGTAAATTATTTACTGTATTTTTTTTTGTATAGTTTGTACAAGTGTCCATCGAAGTTCCGACATGTTTAGTAAGAACATCGTTTGATAATCCATCTGATAAGAGACTTGGTCTATTGCAGTTTGGGTGTCAACACGTGGTGGAGGCGTTCGAACCGAAACAGCCTGTTGCGCAGTTCGCTATAACACAGGTTGGGTTAGCTTGAGAACAGCTCGAGTTTCCTAAATTTGCAGATCTGGTAAAACCTAAAGTCCAGTACCACAATGATAGAGCCATCCTGATAAACAGCAGTTTTAAAAGTTTGGTAAAGGTTGGAACACAAACCAAAACTTCGTGTTGTTAATATGCTTATTCGATATATATTCGTACAGTACGAAACAAAACAAAGAACTCTGTTCAACATAAAATATAAAAACAAAAACCACGTCCCATAGTGACAGAACCATTGTAACTAACATTTATAAAATTAGATATTTTTATATTATTATACTATGGTGCACTTACCCTAATATGCATCACAATGCAGTTGAAATTTTATTAATAGCAATTCAAACTAAGTTGAAGAACTTAACGAATACAATACAAAATTATAAACATTCGTAACTTTATGTGGAGAAAATGAGACTTTTATAGTCGATCATACTGAAAAAGAATTCTTGGAGCGCAAAGGGCTAATAACCTACGAATCCATCTTATTTTAAATAAGTTGCTACATTCTGTTTGGCATTGAATTAACAAGATTTCTATGATTTCGTTCCAAACATTCGGTAACTTTTGCAAATTGCCCTTCATTTCGATAAACTTTTCGCGATAGAATTCCTCATAGATTTTTTATGGGATTTAAATCAGAGAAACATGACGCTCGAATCATTACTGATATCTGATTACCCATAAAAACCACCCTCTGTTTGATGTTGCGTTGTGTATAAGTGCATTGACCCCTGGAAACCGACACTTTCTTGTATTAAGGATTTCTATAAGTGTTACTTATACATATTTGATAGTCCCTAGCTTTCATTCGCCTGGAAATAAACGCCACAGAATGCATTCTATAAAGTAGCGTTTGGTCCTCTTTATCGCTTAGATATATTAATATTATTCGAATTGAATTTTTTTCGTCCTACAAAATAATACATTAAACAATACATTTCATCCACCAAATCAATTAAGATCCTTCTTGTTTGGCGTGCACCTAATGCAAAGGAACATTCGTTCAACTTACTTTTACCCTAATTTTCATTCAATTTTTTAAAATTAAAAATAAGGCGCCTAGCACGTTTTACTCTGTGAACAAGTTTTCTGATCGACGTGTTGGCTTTCAGCATTTCAGCGATTTGACTTTTTCAGAAATTGTTAATTATTTTTTCTCTTCTTATATCGACAACTGCTTACTTTACAGAGTTAAAATTCGACAGAGGGTCAACTTTGAATAATTAGATCAATTGTTACCTCAGTGTTGCCAACTCGACATATCAAGCCAGACATCTGTCGCTTCAGGACACGTTGTCTTTATATTTTATGCTGAATAAAACTATTTTGTTTTAAAATCTACAAATACACAAATGATAAACATACGAATGCAGCCACACTGTTACTTTTTTCCTAACTTGTACCAAATACTTAAAATCACTGTTTTGTAAGGCGATTCTATCATTTTGGAACGCACCTTAATTCCGATGACTATTTTTTCTCAGGTATGTGTAGACTGTTCAGTGTTTGACCGAATTAAATATAGTTTATACTGTAATCTAGGGCACCTAAAGAATCCTAGCCCCGCGAACTATCTATGAATGTTCATTGAACGACAGGGAAAGCTCACGACGTCACCAACGCATGGCTACAATCGATTTCGTAGCATTTATATAGAGGGATTCGACCTCCGGTTTCAGCGTTACGCGTTCTCCGCGGGTAAAGTTAGGCCAAATAGAGACACCAGTAACACCCGTATTAGACAGCCGAAAAAAGTTAACTTGACAGCTCATGGTTAGTGGTTCGGCAGAACAGATTATTGGCAGTGCGAGGCAGAAAAGATTTCTTAGGAGTCAAACGGTAAATAGTCAGCGGCGAAGTTGAAACGATCCGTCATTGGCCAGCACCGGAATCATCGACAGGTTCGGTGGAACATATTTTAGGCGTTCAAAACAATTTGCAAAGCACGTATCCCAGCGATCATGGTTATCGAACCTGTTGATGTTCCGGTGTTCCCAACGGTCAAAGAACGAGCGGACGTAATTACTCGAGGCCAGAGTCGGACAAATATTCTAAACATTTTCGAGTATATTCTCAAAATAATTTGCAAACATTTCAACGTAACGTTTGTATTCGCGAATAAAATTTGTCGAACGCTACTCGTGGCTACTGCAACATCGGACCTAGACAGCGTCGTATTGCAGTTTTCAAGATTCTCTGGTCGGAAATCTGATCAGCCTTGTTACTAGAAATAAATTACCGGTAACGTTTCTCCTCAAGCAATTAGACCGAACATGTAATTACAAGGTCCCGTTTCGTTCTCGCGGACGTTTGATCTTCACCGCTTGATAGAAGTGATTCGTAAAGGTTTATAACGACGGGAAGACTGGAGACAGCTGGAAACTGATCGTACTCACCTTTCTTGGGTATCAGGGATTTCAACAGCAGTACAGCGTTGTCGTCGCAAGCCCAGCCATGCATCTTCCTGTAGCTGTCGCGACCTTTTTCCGTCAGTTTGTCCCACGGCTTCGGTTTACTCAGCAGTTCGCTGACGGTTCCTTGGCTCAGTCCAAGTACGTACTTGGCAAACAGTCTTTGACCGATGTTGTGTATCGACAGCAGTTCTCTGACCCTCCTGGCTATGTGCAGCGTGTCCAGATTCTGCGAGGCGTATTTGTCCATGTTGTATCGTAGCATCTCTTGGAGCCTGGCCTCCATGGGGTCGCCCTTCGGGATCAGGGATTCCCCTAACCGACCGGCCATACCAGCGGCGCCGTACTCGTCGCCGAATCTGAACGGATGCGTCCTGTCGTCGAAACGAAACGGACTCTTTAGGGTGTCCAACACACTCAGGCCCCCTATGTTGTTGTTGGCCAGGTGGTGGCTGTTGTTGTTGTTGTGACAGGAATCCTGGTCCGCGGGACTCTTTGGTGGTGGTGCTGTCGGTATGGCGGGCACGATGCTGCCGCCGTTGATGGAAGCCGAGGAAGCGATCGTTTCGATTATCGTCGTGGGCGGTTGAAAGCTCGGTGGTGACGTTAACGCGGTGGTAGATGACGGCGTAGGCGGCGCGGGCGTTTCGTGGCCCGACACCGGCGTTGGAGCCTTCTCGGTCGCATCGAGGCAACTCAGTGGAGTGGTTCCTAACGGGGTATTCGATTTCGCCGGTGTGTTCGAACTGGAAGATGGATCCGTCGGCGATGGAAGGTGATTTATGTTACCGGTGGTAGACGGAGGATGCAGACCGATCAGCGGCTGTGCTTGCAGCTGTTGCTGCGACAATTGACCGAGCGACGTCGGCTGATGAAGTTGTTGCTGTTGCTGTTGGTGTTGATGTTGTTGTTGTTGATGTTGTTGCTGCTGCTGTTGCTGCTGCTGCTGCTGCTGCTGCTGTTGTTGTTGCTGCTGTTGTTGTTGCTGTTGCTGCTGATTCATGATGGACCTCTCCAACGTCCGCCTCCAGTTGGCGACGATCTCTTCGCCGAGGAAGGAGCCGAAGGTTTCGACGTTCTGGAGAGGAGGTGGGAAGAGGAGACTGGACGTCGTCGAGGTGGCCGAAGACGGTGTCGGAGTGGAACGCGGTGGGAGGGAAACTGCTGCTGGGGGCGGCGGCGGTGGTTGCTGGGAGGACACGTGGGACGAAGGAGGTACACCCCCGACCCCGTGGGGCGAGGCGGTCGAGGCGCGCTGCAGGGGTGACGATAGTCCACCTGCAACCACCAAAAACACAAGGGACCGCGTCAACACGAGCTCACACACGGCAGATGACAGTCAATCTAAAGGTTCACGATCAGTGGTTTCGATTCATTTTTTTTTTTTCATGTCGTGACACCTGGCGTCTTAATTTCTTCGGTAGCCTCCTGGACGATAGACGACGACCGAGACTCTCTTTTTCAAAGCTTCGTCGCGTGATCCACACAAACGAGGAACAACGTGGCCCAACGAGAGGAAAAGTGACGCGCGTCAGTCAACTGGGTTCAGTGTCCCTCGTTATTTCGAAAGGAATCCATCTGTCGCGTTGCGATTGAGTCTCCTCGAACTTTCATCCGTGAAAGACCGAAGACCAGTGTAGAATTTTGTTTTTTTTTTATTTTTTAACGATTTACAACAAAGCGGTTTCGCCGGGTAAATAGGAGACATTTGAGAGGATAATGGCACCTGGGAATTCGGGAATGATGGCATTTGGGTCTCATTCTCTGCCCGTGAACGCGCTGCTTCTCTCTCGCTCTCTCATTCTCTGTCATTCCCGATCGATCGGTAATAAACTCTGGCCCCGAAACAACGCTTTGGCCTGGGGAAATGTTCCGAGTTATCGTCCACGCATTCGCGTGTCCGAAATTTGCTTTTCCCAGCGTGCAGACGTTCGTGGTGGGAACTCGGGGTGTGATGCAAGGGTGGGCTGTGTGGATCGAGAAATCACGGTGTCCGTGATGTTCGGTAAGAGGTACGGGTTTCGGGTTAACGTGCAGGTCTCGGTTATGTTAGTACCTCCTACGAGGGTATGTTGATGCGCGTACCAGCGAGAGAGTAGCTCGGAAAAAGTGCAATCTAAGCAGTGAAGGATCTTAGAGAAACAGGCAGAGGAAGAGTAACAGAAAAGAAAAAGAAAATGGAGAGCGATAATAGAACGCGAGTGGACAACAGAAACGCGATAGCGTACAAAGAAAGGAGGAAAACGAAACTAAAATAGGATCAAAGGCTCGAACAATAACGACGAGAGAGAAATGAACGGTTACAGTGGGAGAGAGACAGTAGGGGAAGATACAAAGATAGTTAGAAAGAAATTGCGAACACAATGGCAAGCAGAGTTACTTTGTTGTTCCTTTTCTCTCGGTAAGCTCCTTCAGTCATCCCTCGTTCTTTAGAAAAGCGTCCGCGTTGCGTGACTCGTGTCCTTTTTATTGTTACTCGATACACCGAGTCCTTCGACGTAGCCTCGAAGAGAGAGAGAGTCGGGGATCGAAGACCAGAGCTTTAGCGCAGGAATTAGTAGCGGTAAATACTAGAAGGGTCGCGACGATATTTCGTGTCTGCGTTGCTAGAAAATCTTTAGCTGGTAGCAAGTCATATCTCTAACAATTCCTGATCTAAAGCGGACGATACGCCTAATCTGAACCGATTCTCGAATGCTTCGGTACCGATCTAACGCTGCGACAAAATGTTTGTTTGTTAGACTTACCAAGCGCGTCCGGAGTATTGGATGGCTTGAAGCTCTCGGTTTGCTGAAGCGCCTTCGAGCGTTCCATCAGAAGGTGCTCCAAGCTTTTGCCAGGTTCGCCGGTTGGAATCTGCGAGAGGTCGACGGACCTCAGCGCGTTAATTTCGCGCTTTAGGTCGTCATAGTCCCTCTGTCGCTCCAGTTTACTCTCTAGTCTGCTGATGTGCTGTCTGCGTGCCTCGAGTTCTTCTTCGAGTCGCGCTGTTGCCTGTGCGCTAGTCTCTTGGAGACGCTGCAGGCTCTGTTGTAACCTGGACACTTCCTCGACCAGCTGGCTGATCTGAAACCAAGGATTTAACTTCGTTGATGAAATTGTTCGTCGCGTTAAACTCCATTTTCATTGGAACGCTATCAAAACATCCTAGCTACCTCCACGCGTATAAATCTACTCGATAATATTGGCTGAGTTCTAAAATTTTGATGGGTTTTCGTACGGATGAAAGAATCCTGTTATTTTATAGAAAACAGTTTACTTCATCGATTATGTTTAACATCAGCAATCTCGTCGGTACAAATTCGTGGATTTTCAAAAGCACCACGTTCACGTTTAGTTTTTCACAGTATTTTTAATATTAATTCTTCTACGAAATTCGTATGTCTATTACTGACCGTATTTAATATTAATTTTCAACAAAATTGTCAATTTGAAGCAACTACTTTTAGTAGTAAATAACATTTGACAATAGTTCGTTACCTTAAGCAAAAAGAATTTTAATAGATTGTCCTTTGTTTTAAATGAAAAGCTGTATGTAGCACATATCCAATATTAGGTTTATTGTTATGAAAGAAATTTCAAACTATCTATTATTATTAAATAAACTCGTCGTCTGCTTGAATACACTTTTCCCAATGACGTGAATAACATTTTTTTTTAACATCTAAATCTCCATTGATTTCTTCTTCGTTTACAATATTTTTTCCCTTTTACAATGTCTAGGCGAAAATGATAATCTAAAGGAGATGGTGAATGCTATTGTATCTCGTAGTTGAAATCACTAAATTTAGAAAATTGTTGTTTGGAATTGTAATCCAACTTGTTTCTCTCAGAGAGTTCATGTGATTCACTGGATTTATTCTAACTACCATCTTTTAAAGATTTTAATAACATGGCTAGGAATCAAGTCACAGTCAGGTTAATGAAACAAAGTACAGAGCGTTCGGTCGGCGTCGCCTTGTACACCGATCGGTGGCTGTTCCCGGTTGTCATGAAATCGAACATGAACGTAATTACATTACCGTCGATACAAATATAGAACCACACACACGAAATCCCATTCTGTCCCTCCTTCCTCACCTCTGAACCCCTGCGGACTGCTTCGGGTCTCGTTTATCAGCGAGTAAGGAGCTTAGTAGAAGCTCTTTATTAATTTTATCGAATCGATTATACCGAATCGATATCGGCCGCTTAGCGGACGGGATAAGTTTAAATCTCGAGTCGGGTCTGAATGTAATTACTCGAGGATTAAGTTGCACGTTAAGGCGCGGGATTTCTTTCGTGTCGTGCTACTCGCGTTCCACATCACGTACAATTTGTATTAATACGATTTTTAATCGGTCGCGCGCTGCCTAGAGCCCACGACGACGGATTGAGACAGACTCATTGCGCGAGATGCAGCAACGTTTCGATAAAAACGAAATTCTATCGAGTTGTTAAAATTCAGATTATAGTAGTCGTACTTTTTTTTGTAGATAAGTTTGATGCAAAGATCTTTAGTGGGAGCCATTGCACATTTTCTATAAATATCCATTTTTTAGATATTGAAATTTTCTTGTACGTAACAAAACAAGAATGAACAAAACTCTTCAGCCTTCTTTTTGTTTCAGCCAATCAAATAAAATGTAGAATTGAAATTCGAGCATCGAATTTGGAAAGTTCATTTTTATTTCCGAGCAACATTGTAGTGTCTGACTATCTTTATTACTGTATTCAGTCTCGAAATTAAAAAGTAAAAGTAGCTAGAATAGGAATCATATTAACGATACTTGACATATTAGTATTATATAAACATCTTCCCCGTTTTCTGAGGACGTTTCAGTATCGTGATGTGTTCGTTTCTGTTAATTTTTAGTTGCATTTCATGTGAAAGACTCGTCAATATATTATTAGTAAATTTCAACTATTTCTTACGGCTAAATAACGAACGCTTCTAAAAAAAATAAAGTAATATTCTGCCACGTCAGAAAGTAATCGATTGCGTGAGAATTCGAGTCTCGTTCGCCTGTCTCATTTGATTTATATGAATAAGTGCAATGAATACGTGCTGGAAAATGCGAGAAGGAAAGGACGCAATGAGGAAGGAAGGAAGAAAAAGAAAAGCGTGGAAAGTGGCAAGGCATGCAGAAGTATCGGGAAAATTGACGGATGAGAAGGAAATATAAACGGAACGTTTAATAGAGAGGACAGCCAAAGGAATGAGAGAGAGAGAGAGAGAAATTGTGCAAGAATATGGAAAAGTATTTAAAAAAATGAACTATTGTATTAACCCCTTGACATACAATGGCGTATCTGATTCGTCACAAGTTCTTGATGTCAAGTTTCACAATTATGAGATCACTCACTCGTCATCAAGTCTTATAAATTAAAATCAACATATTTTTACACTCACGAGGTATTCGTAAAACAAATATATTTTTTTCGTGAATATTCTATGTATGAACAAATTTAAACAATATTAAATAGTATACGTTCGAAAAATTACATTAAATCGTACGTCAAGGGGTTAAAGAAATCGCAGGAATGATGTGCAAGTACGAATCAAGGAGAAAGATACGTAGAATTCGACTTGGCAGGAGAGGATAGAAACAAAAATGGAGATGTATGATCGAAGAAACGACGTGAATTTTACCCGTAACATTAGAATTGTCATAGCAATATGACTCGCCTATTAACTATTGATCGTCTATCGTTAATAACTTATGATGCGCGTCATCGACCGATCTGTCGTCACGAAACGCTTTTCATTATTGGTAACGCTAACTTCGCATACGCGTGTTGTCTCCTCGAATGAAAATCGTGGACGCTTAACGCTACGTAAATTCACGAAATAAATCATAGGAATTGTTATTCGCTTTATTCGATGACGAAACATGCAAAATAGGTTAGCGATAACGTTAACATTTATCAATTTCTAGCTTACGAAAAGACTAATTATCAACATTTGATGATATCTGTGGATTTCATACGGTAGTATAATATTATTAATTTCGATCTTGAACTCTGTTTCCAAGCATTCTTTACGCCAACGAGTTAAATGTCACGGTTTAAACGTTATTAGACACATTTAACATTGTTTATATTTTAGGGCAAAACGGAAACATTAATGACTATTAGAAATCCTGTTGTTTGATATTACTGCGACTAGGAAGAGTTAGTTTCCACAAGTCAGATTACTGGAACATCTTGTAACTTTCTAGCTAAAATAATTTCTATTTATTTTAACTAATTAGCTCGTATTTAATACTATCATTTCCTCAGAGACACATTTTATTTTAAACTGGGATAGATATCCCACTTGCACTTGTTAAAATGTTTCGACCGCGATTTAATAATTATTATTATAAGCTAATTGCTTTTCTATCCCCAACATACCACCGATTGCAACAATGGTTTTGTGTTGCGCCAGCGAAGAAAAACGAAAGACAAAAATTGTGAGAAAGGAGCGCGAGCGTCGGTAGAATTCTATGTTCCCGCGCGATTCTTGCGATATTTTTTTATTCCCTAGGAAGATAGATCCCAGATGATTCTTCGAATGAACGGAGTAAACAGTAGCCGCGCGTGAGGGAGTAGAGGTAATCGTCGTGGCGCGATCAATCGCGATGAATCGCGAGTGCTCGAAAGTTTCGAGTTGGAGCCCATCCACGTGTTACGCGACCAGGCTACGGACGAAAATATCGGTTGCGAGGGTGTGCAAAGGGTGGCCAGGGGTGGTAAAAGCCGACAGTAGGAGGGAGGAGAACGATTTTAAAGCTGAATGCGTTTCGCGCGGTGCAACGGCGATGCGAACGAGATCGTATCAATTGTTTTTTCCCAGTGAGGCATCATCCTTTTTCCGGGGGGTTAATTGAGGAGCGAAGCTTCAATTTTGCGGAATTCACGCCTCTGGCATGCATCGACAGGTCTAGCCGGTAGTATGAGCTGCAGATTTAAAAAAAACGCTCGTTTTTTCAACGCTGTTTGACAAACATATCTTTTCTTTTCTTTCCCGTTCCTTTTTTCGCTTTGCCAATGGGTGACAATGTAATTGTACCACGGTTCAGGAGCAGGTACAAATTTTCCACCCCGAATTCGCCTGTTTACGACTCAAACTCTCCGTTTCGAAGATCAAGTTTTTCTAAAAAATTGTTTCCTAAATCCGTTATAATAAAAATAAAATCCAATGTAAAATTATTCAGAAATAAAAATTGTATTGCACGTGTGTAATAATACATAGAACAAAGAATAACATGGAATATTTATTTAACGCTAAAAGTATCAATTTGTTTCCAAGATGAATTTAATTTGCAAAAGGGTTAATTTGGAGTACAAGATCCGTATTAAGAACAAAAATATAATCTTGATTTCACGATGGAAAGAAATTGTTTTCGAAATTTTTATTATCGTTATCGTTACATAAGTTTTTGTTCAAAATTCATTTTCGTCAGACAACCGTACATGGTCGAAAAATCATGAGTCGCGTTATAGGATAGAACCTGTATAATTTGATTCGAACAACTAGATTGGTCGGGTGAATCAAGCTATTTCTAGTTAGCGAGTTGCAGGCTCTGCGGTTCAACTTGAAATCGAAGATCCTTGATGCAGTGTCAAGTATTCTCACCTTTTAATTTATTTATCAGGGGCAGCTACCTGTCACTTGTTACCCGTTTCATTCGCAATCGATACACGCTTACAGCTGTAAGTTACTTTACCCTGCGTTTCGATCACACGAGGGGTACGGATTGCAGATAAGTACGCACCGTCGTTCTATACATGTGGAATAGGTGGACACGAGGGGAGTTCTCAGAGTTGCTCGTAATAATGTCCGCCATTAGCAACGGAGTAGGTTATCACTTTGCGGGCGAAGCTGAGAGAAAGGACAGCTGGAATTAACAGCGTGTCGATATCGTCGAACTTGCCGCGTAAGTACGACGATTAACGGGAACCGATCTTTTCCCAAAGATCAAGAATTTCAAATATCATCCTTCGAGTAAAGGTTTCCTTCTCAACATTCGAGACGTTTCCCTAAAAAAATTATGGATCAAAGAATTTTAACACTCCGACGCACGTATGACAATTAATTCTCA